CTTCAACGTTCATCTTAGGATATAGATGAACCTGCCTAAAACCAAATCACACAAAAAAGAAGTAAAAACATACTTATCAAAGTTTACCCTAAATAAAAAAACATGGACTAAACTTATTTCTAACAATTAACCCTAAATAAAAAAATAAAAAAGTTTACCCACAACTTTAAAAACAAAATTAATAAAATTAAAATTTTATAGCAACCAAATCTTGATCTGTATCATTCTTACCTGGTATGGAAGAACTCGTCCTCAAGTTTTGAAATGTGTTAAGATGAATTTTTAATAGCCTCGCAACTTTATTCAACTTGAATTTTATAAATACAATCCTGGACTTGTGGGTTATTGCACTAATCATAGCACAATGATCGCGTATTGAAAATGATAACTTCTCAAGGAAATTGTCGTTATATGTGAATAGAGTTTTTTTGGCTACATAAACTTGTTGAACTTGTTTAAACTTAATCTTTAGGCGCACCACGTATGCATATTTCCTTCGTCAAATAGCTCTAAAGGCTCCATCTCCTCTGGGTTTGGGTCGATATCTTGTTTATTCATCTCTCGAGTGATGAGAAAGTTAGATATCATTGTTGTCTCAAGGCTATTTTTTTATTTTTTTATTTTCATCTTGTTGTTCATCAAATATAGGACCTTCATAAAAGTAGAGAGTCACACATGACATCAAAGAATGATGATCCCAATTAAAGATCCAAAACTACTTGCTCTTCACCATTCAACTGGTTCTTCATCAAACTTAGGTAGATCACTCTTCCAACCATGAAACTCCCGATGTAGAACGTGCGCATGGAATGAGCTCTCAAACTCACTATCGCCATCATAGTATGTTGGGGTTTAATTTTGCACCAAGTGCTGGATCAGCTCCTTTATTTGCTTTCTTAATTTTTTTATCTCAACATCTCGGAGGTATCATTCTCGTTAGATGGATTCATTCCCAATATCCAATCATAGGCCATGTCCAGTAGCTATGATGTCTATCGACATACACCATGATCTACAAGAACACAAGAATCGACAGACGCAGTATAAAATTACTGACAATTAACAACCAGCAAAATAACATCATTTTAGATAAAAAAATAGAAAACAACAAAGAAATCTGCAATAAGAAAGTACAGACGTTGGAGTCTGAATCCTTCACCATGCACAATCAGAGCACAAAATTGAAAAACCCACAAAAAGAGGTCTCTATTTACAAAATAACATTATTTCATTCGATAAAAATATCCACCCTTTTCCGATTCACGTGAATTCCTTTTATAAAAGGTTCCATATTTCTAAAAATAGATTTGCTAGAAAAACTCACTTTTTACCATCCTTAGATATTTGCTTGCTAAAAAACAAACAACCTCTTAATTATTGAACCTATTTTTTTCTTTTCTAAATGATTTCCCTCAAAACTGCAACTTTCTTTATTGGGCAATGATTTAATATGATGCAATAACCTTAAAAACCCCATCTTATGGCCATTTGTTTGATTCAAATATTGAAATATACACTCTTTTCGTTCTAATGAACAATCACAAAAAAAAAAAAAAAAAATTGAAAACACAACCTAGAAAGTATTTTTTAGCCCAATTAATATAGGCTGTTAATTTTGGTGAGATGCATAGATCTAGGCCTTAGAAGGATTTTTTTCATTTCCAATTTTTTTGGATGGCTTTATTATCATTAGATGAACAATTTTTTGGATGGTTTTATTATCATTAGAAGAAAAAAATGATTTTGAGTTTATAAAAGCTAAGATCTTGAAATTCAAAATATGAATGGTCTAGATTTGTTTTTGGATGAGACTCATTTTGACCATATCTAAGGTTCAAATTGAACTTTTTTTTTGGGGGGTAGGGGGGGGGGGGATTGATTATTGAGATGAAGAGAGTGTGTGTGTAAAATTTGAAGTCATACAAATACCACAAGCATGGTTTTCTAGAAGTGTCGTTGCATTATACTATGATACAATAGTTGCATTAGATCATTGCTCTTCCTTATTATAGTCATAAATACTCCCTATCTCACGTCCATCTCAAAAAATGGAACCTTTCTAAAGACTTCGTCCAAATAAAAAATGAACTTCAACGGTAATCTTACAGGGCAACGATTTCATGCAACCGTTGTATAGTAATATGAAAAATCATCTTATGGCCATTTGTTTTATCCAAATTTTGAAATATACACCCTTTTTCATTCTAATGAACAATCACAAAAAAAATAAAAAATTGAAAAAATAACCTAGAAAGTATATTTTTAGTCCAGTTAACATAGGCTGTTCATTTTAGTGAGATGATTAGATCTAGGCCTTCGAATGATTTTTTCATTTCCAATTTTTTTGGATGGTTTTACTATCATTAGAGGAACAATGTTAAAAAAGAAAAAAATGATTTTGAGTTTATAAAGGCTAAGATCTTGAAATTTACAAAATGAATGATCTAGATTTGTTTTTGGAGGGGACTCATTTTGATCATATCTAAAATTCAAATTGAATTTTTTATTTTTTGGGATTAATTGTTGAGATGAAGAGAGTGTGTGTGTAAAATTTGAGGTCATACAAATACCACAAATATGATTTTCTAGAAGTGTCGTTGCGTTATACTATGATACAACTGTTGCATTGGATCATTGCACAATCTTACAATATAGATGACCCTACCTAAAACCAAATTACACGAAAAGAAAGGATTCATCAAACTAAACTAAAAACATGGATTAAAATTATTTCTAACAATTAACCCTAAATAGAAAATGTAAAAAAAAGTCTACCCACATCTTTAAAAATAAAATTAATAAAATTATAATTAAAATATTGTAGCAACGAGATCTTGATTTGCATCATTCTCTCCTTGTTGGAAAAAACTCGTCCTCAGGTTTTAAAATGCATCAAGATAAATTCTCAATAGCCTGACAGCCTTCTTCAACTTTAACATTGTAAACACTATCCTAGGACTTGTGGGTTATTGCACTGATTATAGCACAATGATCGTGCATTGAACGTGATAAGTCCTCCAAGAAATGGTCATTGTATATATATAAAATCTTTCCAGCCACATAAACTTGTTGAAATTGATCAACCATAATCTTTAGGCACACCACATATACATCTTTTTCTTCGTCAAACATCTCCAAAGGCTTGATCTCCTATGAGTTTGGGTTGATATCTTTCTTATTCAATGCTTATGTCTTTCTTTTCATTTCGCTCTTCATCAAATATAGGACCTTCATAAAAAAAATAGGATCATACGTGATATTAAGGAATGATGATTCTAATTGAAGAACAAAGCTCTTGTTCTTCACCTTCAAATGGTTCTTCATCAAACTTAAGTAGATCACTTTCCTAACTATGAGGCTCTCGACACAGAACGTGCACATGGAACGGGTTTTCAAAAATACCATCCGACTCACTAACGTTGTTACAGTGTGTCGGGGCTAAATTTTGTACAAAACACTGGGTTAGCTCCTCTATTTACCTTTTCAAATTTTTTATCTCAATATCTCGGAGGTCTTGCTCTCGCTAGATGGGCTCATTTCTGATACACAACCATAAACTATATCTACGAATGACACTCTAATACACAACCATAAACTATGTCTACGACCACCACAATCTACAAGAATCGACTAATATTTTGATACTACTTGAGGCAGTATAAAACTACCGACAATTAACAATTGAAAAAATAATGTGTTTTAGAGATAAAAATAAAATAAGTATATATATATGCAAGAAGATAGCATAGACTTGAGTGTCTGAATCCTTGACCACACACCATCAGAGCACATAAAAAAAAACTCAATGAAACAGATCTCTCTTAACAAAATAATCTTATTTCATTCCATAAAAAATAATCACCCTTTTACAATTCTGGTGAATCTCTTTTATAAAAGGTTCCATATTTCTAGAGATAGACTTGCTAGACACACACACTTCTTATCATGCTTAACTATTTGCTTGCTAAAAACAAACAAATGACTTAATTATTGTACTCACCTCGCTGTCTTTGAAATGAATGATTTCCGTCAAAACCACGACTTTCCTTATTTTACTCAGATACAAAAGATGGAACCTTCTCTAAAGATTTCTTCCAAATTTAAAAAATGAACTTCAGGTGAACCTACCTAAAACTAAATCACATGAAAAGAAAGGAAGGAAAAAACAGACTTATCAAACTAAACTAAAAATATAGACTAAACTTATTTCTAACAATTAACTCTAAAAAATTTAAAAACATATCCACATCTTTAAAAATAAAAGTAATAAAATTAAAATTAAAATTAAAATTTTGTAGTAACAATATCAGATCATGTGCATCAATTGTTTATAAATTTCCCCACCAAAAAAGGCTTGTATAAGTTGCCTACCTTATACTATATAAATAAGGCACACAAATTTTGTTGTAAAAATGCAATTTGTGTTGAAAACCTTATAGAGGCCTTAAAAATCATGTTCAATCTTAATTATAAAACTGAGAATTTTAACAAAAGTGCATAAGTAGTTCAATAAACACTTGAAAATATTAAAAATAGACGATTCAGATAACTTGTTCTAAAATAGATTAATTTTAAGACTTAGAACCATTTTTTCTTGACATCTATACATCTTAAAATCGAGATGAACCGTCGGAAGGTTTTCCACTTTTAAAACACTATTTTCTACTGAATTTTTTAGGAGCACCTTACTTGCACAGTACAAGGTTGCAACCTCATATGGATTTTGTGTTTGACCAACGGGGTTTCGCCGAAAACTTGCGAAACTTTTAAACAAAAGTACTTTAAAACCACTCCTATCGCACTCGCGAAACCACTCACTGTGGGGATCCATCACGCCACGTGTCATAATCTGGGGGCCCCTGAGCCATGCAAAGAGTGTCATCACCTTCTCGACTTCGTGACCCGTCACGTCTCCCAACGCTCCTACGTGTCGACACGTGGCACCATCTCAGCCCTCCTCTCCCCTTATAAATCCACTCCCCGTCCAACTCCTCCCCCACCGAAAAAAAAAGAAAAGCTCAAAAACAGCGTAGCGTTGCGTTATTTACCCCAGACGGTTAGGTAACGTCCGTTCCGAAAATGGCCGAGCAGCCGAAGCCCGTTACCCAGAAGCTTGAAGCAGAAGAGAAACCTCCGACGTCTCACCAAGCCGTGAAGTTCGTATCGGCGGCGACTGCCGGCGCGGTGCTCCTGCTCCTGGCGGGCCTCACGCTCACGGGGACCGTCATCGTGCTCGTTCTAGCAACTCCCGTTCTAGTCATTTTCAGTCCCATTCTGGTGCCGGCCGGTATCGCCATATTTCTGGCCGTTACGGGTTTTCTGTTCTCAGGTGGGTTCGGCGTCGCGGCGTTATCGGCTTTGGCATGGATTTACAACTATGTTACCGGAAAACACCCTGTGGGGTCTGATAAAATTGATCGGGCAAGGATGACTCTGGCTAGTAAGGCGAAAGACATGAAGGAGAAGGCTAAGCAGTATGGTCAATATGTGCAGCAGAAGGCACAAGAGGCATCTGAAACTTGAAGAGTTGGTGATGGTTGGGTTTTAGGGTTTCTTGAGGTTAGCTGTGGTTTGTTTGGGTGAGTATGGTTGCTGAGCTTTGATGGGTGGGATGTGCATGTGCTCGTGCTCTCTCTCTTTCTCTGTGTTTATTTTCATGTGGAGACGTCGTTTTTGTTCAATAAATTTGGTATGTAGAGCTGCTTTTTAGTCTCTCATTGCAGTCCTTTTTACGTATATTATGTATTTCATGTGTTTTCTCTCGAGTAAAGTAGAATATTTTGCATGTTGTGGTTTGTGCAAGGTTTGAGGCCTTGAATAATTAAAGTATGGAGTATCTCTAATTAGTGTTGAAAGGTGATTTTGTTTTGGTATCAAGAATTTTTATGGTGGTCTGGAATAAGCGTAGAAAATAATGTAGATTGAGTAGCTCGATAAATACTTGGAAGGAAAAATTTCATATCAGGTTGCAACCTTAAAATGTAGAATTACATATGCACCTCAAAAATCCATCCATGGGAAACGCTTGTTTTAATGTTGAAAAACCCTCTTATAATATCGAGATGTATAAATATAGGAAAATTTTATACATCTCGATATCGAGATGTATAAATATAGGAAAAATAAAAAGATTTTGAGAGTCTCACAAATAATGCATGCATCTTGCAACAGAATATCTAGACGGTCCATTTTCAAGAGTTGCATATGTTTATAGATCTGCTTGATTTTAACAATTTTTGGAGTTACAAATTTTACATTTAGATACAAAATTAGATTTTAAGATAATCTGAAGAATGTTTTAAACCAAAATTATATGTAATGATAAGATTTGGAGGTGCGCCTTAATTGGATTGTTCAAGGTTGCAACCTTATAGAAACCACACCCATACTTGAAAATATTGAACATCGATAATGCATTACAAAGTGTATTAATTCTTAGACCTAAAGTCTCATTATATATATGCTATAGTATAATGCAACTACAAAACCATTTTATTCATCCTTATAATCAATCCTACGAAAAAAGTTTCAATTTGCATCCTAGATATTGTCAAAATTAGTACCATCCAACAATGAATTTCGACCATCTATTTGGTGGTGAATTTTAAGATCTAAGCTTTAATAAATTCAAAATCAAATTTTTTTTTTAATACTATTCATCTGATGATTATAATATTCTATAAAAATCCTTCTAGAGCCTGTATCTAATCATCTCAATAAAATGGCAGCTTATTAATTGGGCTAGAGCATTTTTTTTCAAAATCTTTTTTTTTGTGATAAAAGAGTGTACAAGTAAAAAATTTGTGTCAAGCGAATGCCTCTAACATGATTTTTTAGGGTGGTTGTATTATACTACTGTACAACCGTTCCCTGTATAAGGTTTCTCGACAACATTTTTCGGAACTCCCGTTAATTTTTAGGGTGCATTGTAATTTGATTGTAATTTTTAAGGTGGATTATAATTTCATTGTTTAGGATCTCAACCTTGTATAAAATTTTCCTTTGTAGTTCTCCATCTTTAGAAAGTGGTACTGAAAACAAGAGATTATCATTACGCCTAAATGAATTTTTTTATTAGATATGTAGACGATATTAATACACAAGAAATCTGAAAAAGAAAGGAAAAATTCAATCCCTTTTTGCTTTTATATGTCTTTATTTTCTTTTTTGGTTAAGAATATAGCAATTTTTTTCTTTGTTTATTTTCCTTGCTGGAATTTTGATATTATTTCAAAATGTAGCTCCGAAGTGACACCATTCCTCTGATAAATATAGGGCTGGATATGGAATGGTCGCCTGGCATGGTAGTCTGGCCCTAAAAAATGTAGAACTTAGGCCACAAAACCCAGGAGAGAGGCTAAGAAGCCACATTAGGGCCAACCCAAGAGCTAGGTTAGGCCACATTAGGGCCAACCCGGTGCAAGCCTACTTGGGCTGCTAGGCCAAGGCCACAGTCTACCAGGCCAGGCCAAGCCAGGCCGGGCCTAGCCTAGCAGTCTACTGCGGCTGCTAATGAGGCCCAAACGGGCTATGTAAAGATCCCGCACTCAAATTTTTATTTATTTTTGGCTTATATAAAGATGGGTGTGATTTGTATAGGGTTCAACCATAGTCTTCAAAAATGTTTTCTATCTTTAATGTCGAGCAGATATAAGAACTTCAAAATTTTGAAAATTGAAACTTCAAAATTTTGAAAATTGATGGTCTAAGCACTACAAGAGACTATTTTTAAAACTCGAAATTTGTCATGTTTATGCATCTTTATATCGAGATGATGAATATGAGGAAGTTTTTTTTAGTGAGATGATGAATATGAGGAAGTTTTTTTAGTGAAATTTTGGAGTTGTGCCCTTCATTAATGAAATTTTCGAGGTGGGCTTAATTTGCTTGTTTAGAGCCTCGCACTTGTATAAACTGAATAATTTATAAAGAGAGAGGCACAATAAAGAAGCATGCATGCATGGTGTCCAAGTGTTGACGGGCGTGTCAAAGTATTCACACGTTTTGTGCAGACCCTCGACCCTTATCATTTTTCCCTTGCCACAAAAGTGCAAGAAAGATAATTAAGCTTTTATTTTACAAAAAAAAAAATAAAGATAAAGCTTTTTCCATCGAAGTTCTCGCCGATACCGATACTATGATTTAGCGCACTTATGGGTCCTCTGTGGGTCGTCAGGGGATCTGTTTTTTGTATGTTCAGATTTTGATGGCATGAGCTATATTTGGGTGTATTTTTTGGGATCTTGACTATCGACGTTTTCAAGAAAAATTATATCTAGCATTTGTTCATTCAAAAAAGCTTCGCCTCTCCTTCATTTTTTCACTTTTAATAATGATGTTAATGTATGATTCTATAGTTATAATATTTTATATATTTATTATTATTATTATTATTATTATTCATGCATAGGTTTTTTTGGTACAATATGAGTCACTTCAAATAAATTTATTGCACACGCCTAGAATATGATTAATCCGGCATGGGCCACATGATAAATTGGGCAGTTCCAACCCAATATACAAAACTTGTGGTTTCTTGGTCACAACCAGCTGAAACTAAAGTTCTATTAAATAGCATTTTCACGAGAATATAACATTTCATGAGGCTGATTCTAAGCCACCATCTGAATACCTTCATTTAAGAGAATATTTTTGGTGTACTTCCATTGTACGAATTTCTTGAGAAACGAAGTCATATGCATGTAGGTTCAAAGAATAAGAATAAATCTCTTCAGCTTTAGTTGGATTTAAAGCACATAATGCATTTGCACCATCATCATCTTCAAATAAAGTATTTTCTACAATAGCACCATGAATAGCACATAGCATAGCAATACCCAATACTCAGCAACTCCCATCATATGAAATGGATTCAACATCCAATTATGAAATTCTTGGAACAAGAGAATGAATCAAAATATAGCTGCTATATCGAAACTCAGTGCAAAGAATCAATTAGACTGACCTAGTGGGCTATATCGAAACTCAGTGCAAAGAATCAATTAGACTGACCTAGTGGATAAATCAGTGCAAAGAATCAATTAGACTGACCTAGTGGATAAATCGGGAATACCAAAGAAAAACTCCAATTGGAGCAGACTGTGTGATTGCTTTATAAGGTTGCAATTTAAAAAATCGAGTAAGTTCGAATTGACACAACATGAAACCTATTAGTCCGAAAACACCATGGAGAGCATCAAAAGTCCACATGCCACCTAATTGACACCAACGAGTAAAATCTCCTTACGCTTTAGAACCCCACAATAGCAACAAAAAATGTGCTAAACTATTGGCAATAGTAAAAAAATTGCATCCTTCCAAATAGAAGCTAAGTGAACCATCAAGTTACAAAGGTTGCATCTGTGAAGCACCCTCCTAAAGCAAAATAGGCATAAGGGAAGCCAGACTAACCAACAAACACGAAACTGCAGCGGTTAAAATTGTATCCTACCAAATGGGAGCTAAGTAAACCATCAAGTTACAAAGGTTATATCTTACGAAGCGGTCCTTTCATAGCCAGTCATTTATAATATCAAATAAATTATTTTCTTCTTTGAAAAACCTACCAAGGACCATAGTCATATTGATCCTTCTATTCAACTATTACAACCAATTTCGAACACCTCATATCATTGTGATTAAAGAAATAATATATGATGGTATGATCATTTATATATGGACGATTATTCGCCCACTGCCCCTTCCAAAATATTGGGTTTCGAAGATATAGATCCCACAGGACAAACCAACCTAGATAAATGCATGCTATCCTAATTCAATTATTGTTTCCTATTCATACATCTGATAAATGAATTATCTTATGCCTCATCAATGAGAAGAAATTTATGAAAAAATTGTTAAGGAGCCAATTTCTTCTCATATCCTATTCCATCAAATAAATAATTCTTGGATTTTATTCATGATATTGAAAAAAGAAAAGATCAACAAATATCTCTATCGATCCTCCCAATTGTATACTAGACTACTATAATAAAACGTAAAAAAAAAATCAAGAATATGAATTTTCATTGTGTCATGTGTATCATTTATTGCTCTTTCATTATTGACTTTTTTTAATTATCTTGTCATATTTCCATTCCTATGAATCTCAAATTTCAAAGTTTTTATTGCCATGGACCAAACCAAAAAAAAAAATTCGAATCTTTTCCCTTTTACCTATCTTACCCAACAAAAGAAGAAGAAAAAAAAAAGGGAGATAATTCTTACTTTTTATATCCATGTACCCATTTTCCTTTGTAGCCATACCTATCCTA